GTAAGCTCAGATCAGAAAGGGGAATACTCCTAAGGAAAAAAGCTCACCACAGGAGCCCGGGATTCGATATATAATGTAGTATTTATTAAAAGGAAGTATAAAACAATCCACATGGAAAAGCATACAAACATGTAAAAACACATACCAAAATGGCCGCTGCTCTGAGTCGCGGACATGGCTGCATGACATCAGTACATAAGGCTTCACCTTTTGTTTGTTGTTGTTTAACAGTCTGTGTCTCCAGACCACTTCTGTCAAAGTGCCTCTCTATGTGAAAGGCACTTGTTTGTAAACAGAGCCATGTAATATTATAACTGGCTGCCATAGTGATCAAATGATTGGAAACCATGTTGGCCAGCTGTAAGATCCAGTGCAATCACAGGTTGCGGCTGCTAGTTCCACCACTGTATGTTTTTAATCTACCTTCAGCATGGGTCATTTTGTTGAGAAGCCTTTAAAAGCTGATTGTGCATGGGAAGAACACTGCTTAGTGGATGGGCATACTGGGGTGTGTAGCTAGGTTTCCTACATCTCTAAATGATCAATGAATCCAAACATATAGGCAGCTAATGCTGTGTGCAAATCTTGCTCTTCCCAGTAAGGCCCCATGTACATGGAACACTTCTGAACGTTGGAAACGGACTGCTGGAAAACATAGGTTAAAAAACATCTGTTTAGCCGCGTTTGCATAGCGCCTTTATGCGTGTTTGTGCTTAGAAGCGTTTTTTAAAGATAAGCACAGGAGAATCTCCCAAATGCCCAGAATGCACTGAAAAGTAGTAAATTATTAACTATTTCAGACTGTTTCAGAGAAATAGAGAGTAGAAGCAGAGACAGCAGTATGTGTTGAGATTAGCTTAGGTGTGAATTGTTCATTAACATTTCTTTTGTTTCCAAGGGTGGGAAAGGTGTCTGGTGGAGGGAGTCATTAAGGCCACCTGGCAGGGGGTCTTCATGAGGAATTTGAGGTGTGTGAATGGTCATTAACATGTCTTTTGTTTCCAAGGGTGGGAGAGGTCTGAGGTGTGAATTGGTCATTACAATGTGTGACAAGCTTGGTAGGAACATCTTGTGTTCAGTGATTTGTCCATTTGAGTACCAGGAAAACGCTTTGCATGTATTTTTCATGATGAAAAAAGGCTCTGGACAGCATCAAGAACTGGAAGAGTTAAAAACATTTTCGAACACAAACGCTTATAAATGCGATTTGCCGCGTTTACAAGAGTTTTGCGTTTGAAACACTGATAAAATCGACTGCTGAACGCCATTTTTCTGCGTTCAAAAAAACTACGGTAAACTCAAATGCCTGTAAATGACTGTAAACGAAGCTGTGTACATGGACACAGGAAAACATTAGGGTGAGTTCAGGGGCTGCTGAAAAAAACGCTGAACAGCTCCTAAACGTGAGTTAATCAGCTGCAGTGTACATGAGCCCTTAAAGTTTTTAATGTCTTCATGTGTGTAGCAGCCTAGTGGCCAATTGTGAGGCATGAAATTGTTTTATTACATAAAAAGTCAAGAGTTGCATCTACATGTAACTGCCTCTCTCTCTGGAGCTACTGAATGTTCTGTGTGTGGCTTTCACTGATGGTAACCATCTGTTTCATCACATGCTTAGTTTGGATTGCCCAGGTTTACCTAAAGTGCAGAACGTCAATGTCTTTTAAAAGATAGTTGCATATTTTTGCAAACTTTGTAAAAGTGTAAAAAATTTACCCTTGGTGGAAAAAAAATACATATATTTATTTTATATATTTTGTCTTTTTTTAGAATGCTAACAGAAATGTCAAAATAAATGTCAATGACAAATGCAGTGATTATTTTCTCAAGTTGTCTTGTATTTTTTTTTTTTTTTTAAAGACCATCATAGCAGGGAGGAACCTGGCAGCTGACAATATTCCTCTTCCTACGGACTCCTTGATGTGGGGCTGATATCTTTTATAGTCATTTCTTGTCCTCAGCTCAGTGCATGTGCCAGATTAGGATAACAAAACTGAAAGGAAAGAAGGTCTCAAAACTGCTGGTGGCCAATTGGCAAGAGAAGATGATGTGTGCTAAGCACCTCCAGTTTTGAAACCTGTATGAGTGAAACCTCCGGGGCCGATTAGAACAGACCGTAGATGTTGCTACCTGCTCTACGCTTTTCTCTGCAGGGTTACACACACTGAGGCCAACACTTTATGGCCCATTCATAAGCAGTGGGCCGCACTGTGGAGCCTGCAGTGCCCCATGAAGTTCTTCACTGCTTAATGCAGCAGAAAGAGCTTCGTGATTAAAGAAGAACTACTTCTACAAGGTCACGTGAACTCATTGTGCTTTAGAAGTGCCGTCGTTTTATTTTAAACAGTGGTGTGGGCTGCAACATGGTCATACTTCCGCTTTTTAAATGAAGTAAGAAGTTTGTACAAAAACAGCTCATATGTGTAAGTGAGAATAAGCTCTATCTGCATTAAAATTCTCAAAGAAAACTAGGCACATGCAGGCTGGCAAGGCCAGCTCAATTTTACTAGCAAAGGAGAAAGCATCTGTCATTAATGAAAGCATATTTAAGGGTAAAATTATTTTGGGGTGGGGGAAGGCATTTTAAAAAGTGTGCGTTTATGTTATATTTTTTTTTTTCTCCTTCTTTCTTTAAGCATCTATGTAAACATATACAAAAATTATATTATTATATATATATATATATATATATATATATATATATATATATATATATACATACACACACACACATATATATGTGGGAGTGTGTGTGTGTATACACACACATATATACATACACACACATAATTTTTTTGGTGTGTTTACATAGATGATTAAAGAAAGAAGAAGGAAAAAAATAAAATTACAATATCTCTCTATCTATCTATCTATACACACACAAATATATATATATATATATATATATATATATATATATATATATATATATACATATACATATATATCCATCTATATATCTCTATACATATATACACACACACATTATATATACACACACACACACACACACATTATATATACACATGCACACACAAGCACCTATGCACACACATTATCTTTGCACAGCTATACACTTCAGTCTATGGGAAGCAAATGATTTAAAAATTCTCTATCTAAACCTAAGAACTTGAAAGGGCTTGTTAAGATTATTTTAACGACGACAACATAGATATTTTTCTTCAGCCTACCATTTCACCATACTACCTACATGTGGTAGAAAAGGGTAAATGCACATATAAGCATCCTTAGATACCAATCATTTGAAGGTGGCCACCTCCTATAGACAAACACAATCATCTAGAATTAGAATACTGCCATTCCGAAAAAAAAAAAAAAAAAAGAAAAATAATAACGACATCTACTTGCATATATCTATCTATATATATATAGATATATTCCTCTTGTACCAAATTGTATTGTAGCTGTAATGCCTACATTCATTGTTTTTAAAGCACTGTGCAAACTGTTAGCACTATATAAATCCTGTATAATAATAATATATATAAAAACATAAAAACAACACCACAAACACACCGCAGTGTACAAATGTCTCTCTCTTAACTTGTTAACAGTCAGCCAAAAAAAAAAGAGAAAACCTATGAATGTGTTCTAAATAAGATCTATACTGACTGAATTTGCCTCAAAAAGCAACCCGTTAGCCTCGATATCAAATGTTTTCTGCACAGAAAGGGGACAACTAGGAAATAAAAAAGGAAAATACACAAATGGAAAGTGGATAATAAAAAGGAAGGGGATAAAAATACAAAGCGTACACCATCTTACAAAAAATAAAAAATAAAAAAAAGTCAAGCACATTTCACTTAAGCAACTCAGAAAACCAACTTCAGGAGGTTCCAACTGCAAAATTTTGCTGAAGATTAAATCAATTTCTATGAATTCCTTTGCTAATCCCTACTCACTATATTTACAGACATGTCCGAGGTAGAGATATTAGGTTGTTAGTTCCAGTGAATCAGATGTACCAGAAACACTTGCTGTGTTAAGTATAGCAGAAATGTAAAACCATATTTTTATGGCACCAAACAAAAATATTGGTGATTAAATTCTATTCAGCTGGACACAGGAGCTTGAAACTTTAACATTCACTGTGACTATACGAAGTAAAACACTAGAAACATTCTTGTACGTTAATAATCAGGTAAAAAAAAATTAAAGGAAATTTCTAAAAATAAATAAAATGTAGCTGATTTTTTTTTTTAATTGCTATTGTTAGCATTTCAAAGTAGCAAAACTACAGAGATGCTTAAAAACTAGTATGAAAAGTATAGGCATCTAATGACACAGAAGTGTAACCGGTAGTTACTGTCATTTCTTTCCTCAAGGCAGAGGAGCTGAAAAAAAAAAAAAAATCTGCAGGCTTTTTTTTTCCCCAAGCAAAACACAAAAGGCATCTGTCTCTTTAAATTGTTCCAGCCCTCAGCTCATGCTCCGTTTACACATAGCTGCACCAAACACTAAGTCCACACTCTGACTGGCTAGCGTCTGAAGTGGGTGGTACAGGACATCTACAATCATTGGTCAGTGGGTGTGAATTACAAATAAACAAACAGTATTACTGGATGAGGTCCTGTATGACTCAAGCAGTAAATCTGCATAAACACACCTCTGTTATTTAACCCCTTGCAGGGTTCCGCTGCAGCTACAGGCAGCTTGACTGTACTCTAGCACCATCTTCAGGCAAAAAAAGTGTATTATGTGCTGCAAGTGATCACAGCAGCTACATATTAATATCAGACTTTTTGACAGATAGCAACATTTGGTAAACAAAATGGGCCAATTAACATCTAATAATCAATGATCCTAACAAAAATAAATGAATCAATTAAAATCTAACCTGTATTAGGCAGCTCAATATGCAGCACACACATGAATGGTGTCTTTATGATTGTAGAAATATTCAATTTAATTACACACCCCAGGTTTAAAAAAAAAAAAAAAAAAAAAAAAAAAAAAAAAGGGTCCGACCTCACACTTACCGTTTGCCAGTAAATTCAGCTTGCCCCTTCTTGTTGAAGGTGAATTTGGAATCATTATACCCCCATCCATTCCACTTCAGAAGCTCTTGCCTGTGAAGAAAAATCAGAACTTCAGTCCCGTAGACATTGACTGGGTTTTCATATTGAATTCAATAAAGAGAAATACAGAAAGAATTTCTTATTAAACGTAAATGACATGCAACAATTAATTGGAATAGGTAGTGATTTTATGGGGTTATTAGTGTGAATGAAGAAGAAGATTGCATTTTTTTACTTTATAAGATGTGCAGCAATATATTTAGGATATCACTGAAGACAAATGCAGATAAACCCGCTAATATCATCTTTGCTCTGATAGAAGGGGCATCGAAATCTCAATGAGGGTATACCCAGAAGGTATCTGTAATGTGTTGTAAAGGATATGTCTTTTTTTTTGTTTTTGGTTTCTGGATTAATCAACAGAATTACAGAGGTTGCCCTCTGTAAAGTAGATTGAATTGTATCCTGAGATCACTAGAAAATAAGCTCATAGATAAAAGAACTTTCATCAGTATATTCTATAAATAAGTCTGTTGATGGGCTTGTGGAAATTACTTTTTATTCAAAATAAAAAGGTCTCTAGTCCTATAGAGAAAACAATATCAAGATATTAAAAAAAAATAAAGTTCTCTAGACCAACAGAAAAAAAAAAAAAAAAACAATAATAATAATTACACAAACAGGTATATGTAATAAGGAACTAGACATATACATAATTATATATTTTGCCAGCTTTTGTTGAAATCTCCACTTTTTCAAAAAGCAGACCATCTGCTCCATAGAAATCACTTGTATTAGGAAGGTCTAACACTGCCCTAGGCATTAATGCTGCAGAGGTTTAATATTGGCATACCCAGAAAGTATTAACTAGACAGAGGTGGCCCAATGATCATGCTATTGCCTAATTAGTGTGAACAATGTATTTTTCAACCTATTAATAGGTGAAATATTGTTTTGAAGGGATGTAGATATACACAGCACATACATATTTATTATCTTCTTATATATATATATGAACACAAACAATGTAATCCATTGTAATCCGATTCCAGTTACAGAATAATGTTTGAAACGCAAAAAAAAAAAAAAAAATAAATAAAAAATCCGGCTATTTTTATCCCATGTACAACAAATGTACAAAAATTATTTGAGTTCTAAACAAGACCAATTGAGTACTGTCCGTGATTCTTTTTTTATTTGCACTAACATACAATTTTGAGGACAAGCTTTTGGGGAGTGTCCCCTTCTTCAAGTACTGCTTGGACCTTGAAGAAGGGGACACTCCCCAAAAGCTTGTCCTCAAAATTGTATGTTAGTGCACATAAAAAAAAAAAAAAGTATCACGGACAGTACTCAATTGTTTCTGTCGCAAACGCACTAATACGGCTACAATCACCTCAAACAAGATCACAAACAATTATTTCATTGTTTTGGACCTCGTCTTTATTACAAGGCTACCCATTTAAAAAAAAAAAAAAATCTTTATTAGCCACTTTTTTTTTTATATTGTTTATATTTTACATTTTAAAATTTCCATTTCTTCATGACTTTAAACAAAAAAAAAAAAAAAAAAGGTATAGAATTATAAATTTAAAACATGACTTAAAATTTTCTCCAACTTTTTTAACCCTTGGTGGACATGCTCTAAGGAGGGGGGGGGTTTTGCTCCATGTGAAACCATTCACGTTTATTGCTTTTAATAGAAATACTTGCATGTCTTCACAACTTTTCTACTAGACAAGTACTTATTCAAATTATGTTGTTGCACCTTGACATGATCATAAAATTTAATTCTGTCATCTGCATAAATTTTAAAGCCCATCTCTTAGCAAATATTAACCCACTTCCCTCCACCCTCTAACGAACTGCTGGCTTAAAAAAGAAAAATAGGTAGTTCCATAACCATATATCCATTTCATGGGCTGCATGACCTGGACATTTGCTATTGCCTGTCCAGAGGTTGAGTTTCAGGATCCAGAAGAGGAGTGACATTCATGCAGAGGGAGTGTAGGGAACAAGCATGCCTGCACCCAGGAGGTTCCAGGCAAAGGACTTTGTTTTTTTTTTTTGGTCTTTTGTTTTGTTTTTTGTAACTTACATTGTGAAGCAAGTACTAGTTACCAGAGGATTACAGGATTGGTTAACAGGGATGGGATAGAGTGGATGGATGGGAGGGGGTTAATCTTTGTATGTAGATGGAGTTTAAAGAATTAGGCTTTCATTTAAAAACAAAAAAATGAACAAGAGGAGCATAAAAGGGGTGGAAACCTCAAATAATAATACATGATATCTTTGTTTTTTTTGTGCCACAATATCTGACCAATCTCCTTTATAGTAACCTCTAAAATAATCAGAATAAATAAAAAAACATAGCCCTGAAATAAAAGAAACAAGCAGTGGGCAATTAGACAAAACAGAAAGCCACCTCCAGTATAATAAATAGAGGACTGTGGACAGGTCTGCGGAGCACTGGTGCGTCTGTGCCTTTACTGGTGTGAAATGCAGGTCACACAGACTGTGCCAGGTTCAGACACCAGGTGGCAGTCTAATCACAGGCCAGTCCCTCATCAGACAGCTGTGGCTGGATTTCCTCTTCTTTCAACACGTTACGGAGTGACGGGACTATTACAGATGTTGTAAAATGCTTCAACCCCTATATGGATTACACATGTCGCAGCAAAGACGAATGTGCTGCTGACTGCAAACCTCTGTATGACATGCATCTTATCGATAGCTCGGTGCACACATGTGCCATTTAAATTCACTGAAGTAGTTTGGACAGTCCCATCATTTGCTCTGCATTGGTCTCAACGACCCCACCGGGTACTATGGCCCATCAGATCAGAAAGGATTGCACTCTGCGATTTGTGCCTTTTTGAGGCTTCAAGATCCCCTGAATTGCATTATTGTATTCGGGATTATACAGATGAAAGTCATTTATTTAGTTTTACCTGTCAGGTTTTTAGAATCCCTCATCAAGAATGCTGATACTTTTAGTATGTATGTATGTATGTATGAACACCAGGGGCGGACTGACCATTTGGAAACTCGGGCACTGCCCGAGGGCCCGGGGTCAGTAGGGGGCCCCAAGAGATTCCCCTGGTACCTTTTTCATAGGCTTTTTTGAGTTTGGGCAAGGACACAGGGGCCCCATGATCCCCTATTGCCCGGGGGCCCCATGAGTTGTCAGTCTGCCCCTGATTAACACAGTCATCTCACACTCTCTGGGTACCATGCCTGATATACCAGAGAGCCTTTTGCCATAAAACCTTCTTAGCATTTTTTTTTTGTTAGGTAGGTCAGCAACCTCAACCCTCCCCATCTGATCGGGCTATGGACTGGCATGCAGAATGTGACAACACACTTGAATTCTCCCCATCCATGTTAAACAGTGTGCATGGATGAACCAGAAGTTCCAGTTACTGTATTCTGACAGCCACTTCTCCAGCAGCTGCCTGAATACCTGAATAATGACTGCATCTGATTGGATAAAGGCACAATTCAGCGGAGACTTTTCTGTCCATCTCCTCTAATGAAAGTCGACTTTTACTGAGCCTGGTGGTGCGGCAGGATGATCCGCAGAAAAAAAAAAAAAAAAAAAAAAAAAAATGACAGCCGATCCTGCAGGAATTCGATTGATCCGTGTGTGGCCAGGTTTTAGACAGGAGCCAAGTAACCTACCAGCAGATCTTTGAAGTGTGGGAAGAAAACGGCGTACCCAGAGGAAACCCACGCAAGAGAAGGGAGAACAGGCAAACTCCAGGCAGATAATGTACTGGCTGGAATTCAAACGGAGGACCTCAGTGCTGTAAAGCAGAGATGCTAACCGCTAGGCCCACTTTTTATATTAAACAAGAGTTTCAGTGAAAAGAAAAAAAAAAAAATTAAAAAAGTCAGCAGCTACAAAAACGGTAGCTACTTATCTGCCCGCAATCCCGCAGTGCCCCCCACAGCCCGTTTCACCAGCTATCCGGTGTGTTTCCGGTCCTAGCATCTTCAGTGTGGGCACCCAAAGCTGACCGCAACGGCTTCACAGCCGGGTGCCCTCGGCGCGTGGCGCTGCGCTTTGTGAATGGACCTGTAGTCTTTTGGAACCTGTCATGTGTCCCAGAAGACTACATTGGGGACGCGGGATTGAGGGATCGCCTAGGCGATTGCCGCGGAAGTGCGAGCATCTGTCAATATCGGGATAGCTGCTCCCCCAAGGTGCCAATCCTTAATGGGGAGCAGGGGACCAGTCCTTAAAGTGGAACTTCCTCTTTTGGGTGGAACTCCGCTTTAAAGTGCCGATGTCAACTTTGCTGTCACCCTTAGGCTAAGTTTAGATTTGCAGCAGACTTTGCTACCCCTTGAAAAGCGATCTGCAGTGAATCATTTTCAGAGACGTTTGGCGGTGAGGAGGCAGAAGATTGCATCCTCACTGCCCGTTTTAACTCAGAAAATACTGAACCATGTGCCACAAGTGTATTCAATACACACGATTGCGGCGTTACCCTATTCACTTGAAAGGGTTATGGAGGCAGTACTGACTGTTGGAACACAACAGGGAGGCCAATCATTTCTGCAGCCTCAACATGTGTTCTGTATGGCTGCCTTTGCAGCTTAAGGAGGGGCGGGGCCTCAAAACACAGCTCAATTGCCTGTTTTTACTGCTCCCCAAATTAATCTTTCCCCATTTTCTGTCTGCCTGTTTTCTACGTAATTGTGGAAAAAAAGGGAACATGATTTTTTTTTTTATTGCAGCTGTTAAGTGACCAGTAAGGCTCCATTCACATCTGAGAGTAGCTTTTTTTGCGCATTTGGTCACGCATTTGCAAACGTTTGTGCGCAATTTGTTAATGCGTCTTCAGGCTGAGTTCTCACAATAGAGAAAATTTATTAGACAATAGAGAAAAATTTAATCTGTGACATCAATTGTTGCCATGCCAGAAAAACATTCTTGATCGCGCGATAAACCGTGCGATCTGCCCGTTTCTATGGGACCAAAACGCACCAAAAAACACATGAATCTGCCTGAATGGAGCTACAAAAGTAGCTCCCAAACTTTTTTGAG